CAGCAGCATTTGATATCAGATCTTGCACTAACACCAATGGAGATAAGAGACCAACAATCAGCACCTGGAACCCTTGTGCTCAGTCCTATAAACCACTGTTAGATTCCTATTTGCTGTCTGCAATTTTTTTGGGGAATGTACTAAAAGGAAGGACAGGATTGCCCATTGGAAACAATGGAAGCTCATGCAAGTCAATTGGCATTACTGGCTCCCATTATTTCCAATGGGTCTTCCAGCGTCTCCCATTGTTTCCAGTGGGCAATCCTGTCCTTCCTTTTAGTACATCCCTTTTTTTTTAAAAGGCCTAGGGGCGAAATCTAGGATCTGGGAATATATTCTGAGGGCCAAGTTAGTACTCTTCTCCACTTGCTCTTGTAAGTGGCAAGAAAGGACTGCCTAAAATCCGCAAAGCCCTCATTTGTCCACAAGAGTTTCAAACGTCCTCAAGGTTTCACAGACTGCCATGGAGGGAAATATGATCCCGGGTAAGAATTGCAGAACTAGGGTGCAGACCTTAAGAGGGCTCCTGTCTGGCAAATTTAAACTGAGAGGCTGCACAAGATATGCAAAAAGCAATGTCTGGAACACTTGGATTTTGAGGGAGCAGGGGAGGGAAATTCTGTTTCACTGTATCTGAAGAGGCGTGCTTGCACACAAAAGCTTATACCTTGAATAAAACGTTGTTGGTCTTAAAGGTACCGCTGGACTCAAACTTTGTTCTACTGCTTCACATGGCAACTCCACCTGGATCTGTGACAAAAGATGAATGTCTACAGTGCCATATATTTGTTTACTTAGCCAGACCATGGATACAGTTTATTTTACATAGCTCAATCATGTGATGATCTATTTAAATATGACCACACCCCCATAAGATAGTTCCAGGCGGTCAGCCCCCATAGGTCAGTTTCGTTTCACCTTCTCAGAAAATTACTGAGCTCACTCTTGAGACTAATCTACTTCTCTACCCCTCAGGAAGGGCCACTCTTCACTGTTGTCCAGGGTGAATATTGAAGACTGCCTCCTATTCCGAGTGGCACCTGAGACGACTACAAACCCCACAATGCTCTACACAGCAGCGCATGTTCACATTCTTCCATAGATCGAGGAGGCGCCTACTACCCTACTTGCTCCTAAGGGAACTACAAGCTCCACAATGCTCTAGGCAATAGCGCATGCTCGCATTCTCCCATGGAGCCAAAATGGCAGACACAGGAACCGGTGGCTCCAATAGCTCGGGCACGGTAAGGCAAATCTACTTAGAGCGATTCTCTTGAGGAGCCATGTGACTGGGTATGTGCTTCAGGCCCGCCCGTTAGGTATTCACTCCGAGCGATACGAGGCCTCCGGGAAGCGAGAAATTCCCGGGTGGGTGGGTGCGCGGAACCTTGTTCCTTTCATTAGCTTCTGAGCTGATGGGGTTGAGTTCGGTTTGTTTGATAGCAGTGCAGTTGATATGGGGAGGGTAGTGGTCTCCCTTTGCGGGGGGGAGGGGACGTGAACGTGGCCCGTCGCCGTTCTATCTCCCCTCTCCCATGTTTTTTTTTTTTTAAATCATGAATGTAGAAATCATGTTATACCTTTTACACCTTTAATTACCATATTCTCATCTTAAAGGGTAAGTGTCCAGCTCAAAAGAATGAGGGATGGACCCCCCCCCCCGAAGTTCTTTACGTGAATGTTCCAAGTTTCCGGGACTTTGGAGAACATTGTACACATATTGCTTACTTGTAGTTAAGTGATTAGTTAGTTACCTCCGTGCCCCTAAATAGTGTAAAGGTGACTAATGAGGTGGTTCTCGCATACCTAAGTAGTAACTGCTAATATTTATTTCAGTTTTGTTTGTGGATTTACAGAACATAGAGGCTTAGTTCAGAAGGGTGTGGAAATCTGTGGCAATTATGATGACTGAAAACACAGCCTGTGTTACTGTGATGAATTAATGTGGTCTGTGCTGACAACGCTCCATATTTGATGTGTATGGAGACCCAGTTCTAGATGAGAAATCAAACAGTCTAAGAACAATGCTTTTAATGTTGTTTGCGAGAACTGGAAAAAGGAGATCTGAAGAAGGTTAGAATTAAATACTTTAAAAGAAGGAATGTAAATTTCTCACCAAACTCAGTATTGTGCTTGTAGCAGCTGCCAGAACGTGTCCTCTACTCACCTGTTCTGGTCCTAAAGTCAGCCAGAATATGTATGTGTAAAGCAGAGGAGTGAGGGTGGGGTGGAAGATGCTGGCTTGTACAGTGCAGTGTTTCCCAAGCTGAAAGCATAGGACACTGCTATGATGGCAGGGCCTTTTCTCTTTTAAAAAGGCCATTAATTCTTTAGAGACAGAAGTGGAAGGGAAATTCACAACCATATTGCTCTAGCTGTGGAAACAGCTGGGGGGTTACTTTCTCTTTCGGCAGTGGTAACTGCAGACCCACTCCCTGACTGACCTAAAGAATAAAAAGAATGCACCACTCCTTCTAATGGTAATGACTTGTTCTGTTGAGGTCATGGGAGCAGTCAAACAAAACATCCCACAGACATGGTTTGGTCTCTACATACTTGCAGGACTCTATAGAAATGCAGGGAAATATGACTTTGTAAATGCACACACACACACACCCCAAATCTCCCAGGCAACCAGCCTGGTTAGGACTGAATATGTCTCAAGAGGTATGGAATGCGGAAATCTTTTGAGATGTTAAAAAAGCCCGCTGAAGTCTGAGAGTTTATATAATCCTAGAGGGGGGATATTTGTGAGAATTTCCAAATCTTTCCACAATTTCTTGTATGTACTTCTGTATTTTCCAAGTTAAAGAAGCGCAGTGCTGTTTTATGAACGAGGAACAGCGTTGGTAACGGAGGGTGAGAGGAGCCTTTTTTGTGTAGCTATGCAGTAACCTAGCATGAGTGAATAAAAATCATGGGAATGGAAAATACTTTCAGAATCAGGGTGCAAAAGTGCTGAACACTTGGAGAAGAGACATTTAGAATGCTGTTCAGCAGTATCCATGCATCTCTTGGCAACTTCTTTAAGCTCTTTGTTTATGTCCCCCTGGTCTGTTATTTCTGTTTGTTGCTCGGGTTCTGTCTTGGCAGCGGTCAGGTGGCAAACACTCAACAACCCCGGCAGACAATTATTATCTGGCTAGAAGAAGGACCCTCCAGGTGGTGGTCAGTTCACTGCTGACAGAGGCTGGATTTGAGAGTGCTGAGAAGGCTGCTGTAGAAACCATGACAGAGATGATCCAGAGTTGTGAGTATTGCCAAATGTGTGTTCCTGGGTTAAAATAATTAAAAAGCTGTGCATTTCCAGTGTCAAACACATTCTCCTTAAAATGAAGGCGATATGAAACACAGACAGTTCTACTTTTTTTTTACTCAGAATTGACCACAAAGAGACTCCTATTACTTTAACACCTCATCGAAAGGAAGCGTTTTGGCAGGAGTAACTTCTTCTGCTGTGACACTGCAGCAGTCTGGAAGCCTGCCCTTCTGCCCTGCCGCCTATACACAGCGCCCTGTGTACAGTCACTGACAAGGGTTGGCAGCTGGGTACTGCCACTGCATCATGTAATGGGAAACCTGGACCACTCATTTTCTCTGCCAGTAACCTTGTTTGTACACTGAAAGTGTTTATAAACCTGCCTTTCTCTCAGCAGAGCTGGATCCGGATCCATAGTTGGCTATCAGTATAATAATCAAAATTAAAACAATTCTAAAAGCATCCAAGAAACAAAACTGTCAACAGGATCATGGTAATCATAAAATTACACCCAAAGAGCCGCTCAGGCCTTGCCAAATGCTCTCCCGAATAATGCTGTCTCTCATAAGAACATAAGAGGCGCCAATGTTGGATCAGGCCAAAGGCCCATCCAGTCCAACACTCTGTATCACACAGTGGCCAGAAATACCAGGTGCCATCAGGAGGTCCACCAGTGGGGCCAGGACATTAGAAGCCCTCCCACTGTTGACCCCCCAAGCACCAAGAAGACAGAGCATCACTTGCCCCAGAGTCCCTATCTATACCTTGTGGCTAATAGCCACTGATGGACCTCTGCTCCATATGCTTATCTAATTCCCTTTTGAAGCCGTCCATGCTTGTAGCCGCCACCACTTCCTGTGGCAGTGAATTCCATGTGTTAATCACTCTTTGGGTGAAGAAGTACTTCCTTTTATCCGTTCTAACCCTAAAGGCAAACAAAGCAGAGGGGTGGCAACTGGGAAAGCCTGGATCCAGGCAGCAGCAGAACACCTCCTGGCTAGAGAAGGGACAACCAAAGGCCTTGCTGGGAAGAGGGAGG